CACAATAAACTTAGATACATCTTAAATTAATTATCATATCATCTTAATTAATTATCATATCGTTTATATTATCGGTGGTGTATTTGTTTGCGCCAAAAATTTATGAAATAAAAATTATTTCCAATTTGATTCATGCATTATTCACTAATATTGGCAGTTAATTACTTTAGAAACTCTTTATTTGTTTCAAATTTTTGAAATCAAATAAAAAAAGACAATATTTATTATTGGTATAAAATAACCGAACTTGGCTGAATATGTTTGAAATAAAAAAAGGTTGCTTAAACATAAAGTAATGCAATTTTGTTTATTACTTTGAGAAAATTAAACTTGAAATTTTAAAATGACTTCTTTTTTCTTTTTTTTTTTTAGGCAGAATTCACTGAGAAATTAGAAATTCTCTCGCCTTTTCGACAATCAACAATTCCAATATATCGTGTGATAAATTTCGAAGGACAATTTATTGATCCAAATTATGAACTTGATTTCACGAGTGTAAAATTTTAATACATTTATTAAACTTAAAATATAAGTGGAGAAATTGAATTTTAAATTAATCCTTCAAATGTTTGTTAAAAAAATTATCAAATGCTTGATATGTTGATTTCATTTTGCAATGAAGATTAAAGAATTGAATTAAAATTTAGTTTTCAATTATTTTGACAAATATCAAAATAAAAGTTCCTAAATCGTTGATAAATAGATAAATAAATTTAATATATGAATAAAAAAATAAATGAAAGATATATTAATTTATTAAGAATTTAAATTAAAGATTTACATTAAGAATTATTAATTACGATTAATTATCCAATTATTCCTATATTTTAATCATCTGATATATTTATATCGCCATTGCTTTCAAAGGAATTAGCAATCAAAATGTATCAAAACATGGTGACACTTCAACAGATGGATAAAATTTTATACAATTCACAACGACAAGGACGCATTTCGTTTTATTTGACAAATACCGGTGAAGAGGTTCATCGTCTTTTTTTTTTCTGTCTCCCTCTCTCATTAAAATTAATTAGTAATTAAAGTGGTTTAAGATTCGATAAACTTTTTTTCGTATTTTTGATCTTTTTTTCATATTTCATTTAAAATATGATTTCATCAGGAAAGTTAAAAATTTTTGAAAATTTCAACCAAATTTTTTTTTTTTTTTTTTTATGGAAAATAAAATTATTCTAATTTTACAGTGAAAAAAGCAATGAATAATTTGTTAAAATGTTCCATCCAAAATATGATTTTATTGAAAAAAAAATTAAAATTAAAATGAAAAATTTCAACTAACTTTTTTTTTAAAACGGGAAAAAGGAAAAAAAAAAAAGGCAGTGAAGTGGAAATTTTATCGTTAACTTTAGAAATAATTTTATTTGAATAAAATTTTTTTTTTTTAGGCTACTCAAATTGGCTCAGCAGCTGGTATACATGATGATGATTTAATGTATGGCCAATATCGTGAAGCTGGCTCATTATTGTATCGTGGATTTTCGTTAGAAAATTTTATGAATCAATGTTATGGAAATGCTAAAGATATTGGTAAATTTTACAATTAACAATTAAAATATTAATTAAAATATTAAAATATATTTATTAAATTTTTTTATTTATTAAAATATTAAAGGCCTAACAATTAGTAGCTCTTTGTAAGGCCTAGTGAAGTAATATATGAATACTGTAAGTGTATAATAATTTTTGTAAATTTTATAAATTAACAATTAAAAAGAAAAAAAATGGAAATAGCTATAAGAGTATGGATTTAATTTTGCATTTAAAAATTAATTAAAGAGCAAAATTAAATTTATCAATTTAAAATGTAATTATTTTTAGAAAAGAAAATGAAAATTTATAGGGAATATTTGTGAAAAAGTATTCATTTTTAATTATCAAAGATAGGCTCTTTCTTTTTTTTTCAATATTTTATTTGTCTTCATATAATTTGGGATTAATTTTTCCTTGTTTTAGAAAACTTTTTTTTTTTAATTTTAGGTGGCGGAAAACAAATGCCAGTACATTATGGTTCCGTAGAACATCATTTTGTGACAATATCATCAACATTAGCTACACAATTACCACAAGCTGTTGGTTCTGCTTATGCATTTAAAAGGTAACAAATTAGTTAAATGTTACCGTATACTAATTTATATAATTGGAAAAAAAAATTATTTTATTCAAACTTTAAATTTTAAATTTAAAAAATAATGAAATTTGCAATAGAATAATTATTCACTGTTGCTGTTTTTTTTTTTTCTACAATTATACTTATTAACAAAATGATAGAAATTGTATTTACTGATAAACTAATACGAGTTTTTTTTTCTTAGATATTTAATATTTCGTTTTTTTTTCTTCATTAATTAAAATTTTAGCCGTCAAATCGCATTGTTCAAATGTTTAAACGCTAAATGCCAAGTTAGTATTCAGATTTCCGGATCCGTTTTTTTTCCCACTCCCCCTCATTACTGAATGTAGTGTATTATTTGTATTTTCAGAGAGAGAAATGGACGAATTGTGATGGCATATTTTGGTGAAGGTGCATCATCAGAAGGTGACACACATGGAGCAATGAATATGGCTTCAACATTGGTTAGTGCTAACGTTTAACAATTTAATGAATTGAATTTTAATCAAATACTTAATTAATCAATTCAATTTTTTATCTACTTGACAAAAACTGGTAATTTAAATTGACTTAGGCGAATAAATTTAAAATAAATGAATGCAATTTATTTGAATAGTATTAGTTTATTAGTATGAATAGTGATTCGTTTTGAAAATAAAAAAATAAAAAAAAGGAAAAAACTAATTAAAATTTATCTCTTAGAATAATTTCAACTAATTTATTCAGTTAAAGTTCCCATTTTTTAATCCATTATTTATTCAATTCAAAATAATAAATTTTACTCAATTTATAAATAATTTTATTCAATTTTATTATTTAATTTAATTCGAATATCGTTTAGAAAAAAAAAAAATTTTCAGAAATGTCCAATAATATTTTTCTGTCGTAATAATGGTTATGCAATTAGTACACCAACAACGGAACAATATGGCGGTGATGGCGTTGCTGGTAAAGCTTTCGGTTATGGCATTCATGTGATACGGTATTTTCTTGCATTAAAAAAAAAAAAAAGTACATTATGATCATGTCTTATTAATTAATTATTTTTTATGATTCAAGAATTAACCAATTAATCTAATTATAACCTTAGTATAATTTGATCCTAGGGTTGATGGTAATGATTTGATTGCTGTTTATGATGCAACTAAAGCAGCCAGAAAGATAGCAGAGCAAAATGAGCCTGTCCTTATTGAAGCGATGACTTATCGTTTGGGACATCATTCGACATCTGATGATTCAACCGTTTATCGGTAATTTTTAATTTTAAAATTACATTTTTTTTTTTCTAGTCCACATTTTCTTAACTATTTAAATTTATCATTTATCATGTGTTATTGAATAATTAAATGATTAATATTTGTAGTCCTAGTGAAGAAGTTAACATATGGCAAGAGAAGGATAATCCGGTTACTCGATTTTGTACATTTCTTCGAAATAAGGGATGGTGGAGTGATGAGGAAGATATGGCATATCGGCAAAAAGTAATCATTCAATTAATTAATCAAAGCACTTTTTCTCCTCATATTTATAAAATATATCCGTTTTCAAATGATATAATCATATATGTATATATATATTTTTAGATACAAGAAGAAATTATGCAAGTATTTTTGTGTGCTGAAAAAGTATCAAAGCCAAATATTTTAACCATGTTTGATGATGTTTATAAGGTAACAATGAATTTATATTTTTACAAAAATATGGAATTTAGTGAACTTTTTTGATTTGATTAAAAAATTAATAATTTTTCGCAGTCTTAATTTGACTAAATGCTACAATGGAAAAAATAAGATAATAAATCGATTGTGATTATTTGACATTAAAAGATTTGAGAATTCGAATGAATGAATGAATGAGTGAAAATTACTTAAATATTTAAATGATAAAAAGATAAGCCTTCTTTGATCTTTCCTTTTTCATTTCATTTCAACAAACATTTACTTTTTTCAATTACTTTTCAGCAACTAAATTTGCAATTTTATTTTAGAGTTCAATTTGCAGGAAATGCCGAAAAATTTGCAAGAACAACGTGATGAACTTATACAGCATCTGAATAACTATAGCGAATATTATCCAATCAAAGATTTCGAAGGCACTTAATTCTTCCTTTTTTTCTTTTAATAATACCCCACGAAATTAATCCTGTAATTATGTTTCAAAGAACGAAGAATTTATAAAACTTACCAAAGATAAATAATTCACATTGTTCTTGCTATCAGAATACCGTTAATCACCTTTTGATTGCATACAATTACCGTCGTTAACATTTGATAAAGGAAGATCAAATGTTTCTGAAAACCCTAAGTCCAACCTGTTTTATCAGTCTACAATGCTTACAATAGCGCAAATATCGCACATATCGTCTCATGTTTTGTACCTTCTTCTTACATATTTTAAAACATGCCAGTACCATCTTATGCAAACTTGAATGAGCAAACAAATGCACCACTACTGTATTAACAAGATAAAGGCTGACTTCGAAAGCACTTAATTTTTTTTGCCCCTTCCGCTATGGCACATATCCTACTTATTGCCAGAATACTACCTATCAAGTACCACCACAATCATTGGCTCCATAAAAACATACGCAAACAACAACTATTCGACCCTTCATCTTATCCAAATCGAATTTAGTGTTGATTTGCGACAAACAAACCTCATCTGTACCATACTTGATGATACTTCCAATACAACACTGGATTTGAAATACATTTACTCTCTCATCCCAAAAAATCTCGACCAAATATGCAACAGTATACAGAATGCATTTTATATAGAATTTGTGTTTCCAATACAATAATTAGGGGAAAAAATATTCTTTGCAACAACTATACCGATTCAGATTGCGATAGTACCATTGAAAACATAAAAGAAACAAACTGCATATAGCACATGTGACAAAACATTCATTCATTGTTCAAATCAGCTTTTTGCCGTTTTTGGGAAGAAAGCATTAGAAGAAATTGAAGAGTATGATATAAGCTCAAGCATTAATTTGCAAAGAAATTAAAAAACTAGGGCGAAATATAACTGTCACACCTTACAGCTAATGTTAAAACAAAGAATATCGTTGAAATGAAATTTTTACATTCAAGAAAAGAAAACTGAACATTTGGGCTCCACAATTGCGCATCATTTTTGGTGACCACTAGAATCAGATGAGCTCAATCTTCGCACCATGCATTTTCCTTTCGAATCTGCAGAACATAACTTATTAAAGTTGTGAATATACTGAAACAAATTATTCATCCGAAATATACCGAAAAATAATTGTAAGGAATTAGTTTTCTTTTGCTTTAAATCTCAGTGTTTCGTTACGATGCTCGATCACTAAATAGAAAAGAAGGAGATAAACACATTATGATGGGTGAACTAACAAAAGTCTAAGATCGGATATATCCGTACTTTAGTCAGCACCGTTAACAGAATGGTGTGATTCTTTACAACAAATAAAATAGTCTTGATCGTTTCGAATCAAATCAAAGTTCTCCAACAAATTTAAAACAATCTTTTTGCAGCGGAATAATTTAACATAAACAGCATGCGATCAAGTCACCGAAATATGCGTCATGTTTTTTTTATCATAAAATCACATATAAACGGGCCAATAATACCAAGTGCAAAATATCATTAACTTTTCAAATAACTTGAAATCATTTAACCTGTTCCTCTTCTTCCGGAGTGAAATCATTCTTAATGTTAAAAGTCCTTCGAATTTCTTCCGGTGACTTGCCCTTAATCATATTAGCCACCGTCTTGCACGTTACATCGAGCAATCCCTTTATGTCCAAGTAATTCGCTGCCTGCAATATTAAATAATATTAAATGCAATATTAAATAAATTTTCGTACATTTTCTATATGTCAAGGCATTTATCATTTTCTCGTTCGCGTCATTAAGCAATAAAGGCCGCATCCTATCCGAATGTTCTAGCTGGTTCATGCGTCATAAACCTATTTCCCATCTGGTAGTTTTCGTCAATAGATTTGTAGGGCAACTACTTCGACTGCTTCGAAATCACATGCAATAAGTCAGTTGTCCACGAACATTGTCACAATGGAAATGAAACACGTGATAGAGAATATATTCAAAGAGAACCAAAAAACTGTTAGATGGAAACTAGATATTAATGTTTAATACTTTTGCGAATGAATAAAAAGTTAAGTTTTAAATATCAACAACAGTCAAAAATTTTGAGCTCCAAAAACATTCGCCTGTGATAGAAGCTCTCGACCATCAACTCCATGAAAGAAACTAAACTAAGGACTTGCCAGAATGAGCTCGAACAATGTGCCTTGATCCACCTTAAGAAATTCAACATCCCACGATGAAATATCATCAGTACGCTTCTCCTTGTTATCATTGTCTTCCGGCGGAATTGGATCATCTTTGTGATAATCGCACCAGTGAATAACCTATGGTATTAATGCAATCTCAACAAAAAACATTTAAATGAATTTAAACACAACTTTATTCATTTCACATCCTGAGATGCAAACAGAATTAACCTCAACAACGTCAATTGAATAATAATGATTTTTACTGACATACACATTCGTTAATCTATCTTGAATAGAACTTTTCTCAACTATTACAATATACTTTTCTAAATATGATTTACACCATTCTGCTAATAATCCTGAGAATGCTTTTCACTTTTCTAACCTTTTTGAGGATAGCTGAATTAACGCTTTGTAATGGAATACCCTCAACCATATCAATATCCCCGCCGTCTTGATTATCCATTCCCAAATCTATAATTGAAACATGCTTGTCAGGAATTACAATTAAGGAATGTGTGCGAAGTATGCAAACATAAACTACGATAATGTACATATGTCAAGAATTGAAATCAACTTTAACATTCATTGTTCGAAAGTGATTTTGCAGGAAATGGAAACTGTTCATTATATTCCACTAGCTTTAGCACTCGAATAGCTAATAGTTTTAGCTAATCTTCCATTATCAGTTATTGTCAACTCACCCTGAAGCATTGTGTTGATCGTGGTTGATAATCGGATCACATTTCGATCCACTTCAAATGTCTCATTATCAGACGATATTAGCGAAATTTTCTGCTGTACGGGTTTTTGTTCACTCATTTTAACTACGGTTCGGTGATACTGCAGATTTGATGGTAAACTCTGAAAATTCATTTTCTTCCTACTAATTTTAAGAGTCTTGATAGTATTCATTGAAACTGTAAAACCGATCGCAAAAATATTCTAAGGGGCATTCTTCTCAAACGAGCAAAACCAGACATCAGAAATGATTAAGACAATGAGATCTACTTTACGTTTCATTCCACTCTTTCCACTGCAGTTTTTAAAAATCAAACACCAATTTCCCTTGAAAAATTTGTGCTAGTCATAAAACAGTTCCACTTTCCATAAAGAAAAAAAAATGGAAATTCATGGTGCTCGAAAAAAAAGAAAGAAGAAAAAAATTAAACAATCTATGAAACAGTATGGGAAAGAAGAAGGAGAAAGGAATGGAGGAAGAATGATGTTCTCAATTTGCGATGAATGATCAGGTAGTTTCTTTGATTAATTGGCCAAAATATCTTCCCGCCGGATCGAATCAAGCTTTAACCAAGGAAGTAGGGGAAGCTATTTTGGAAGTTGGTGGATTAGGCAAGATGCTCTAAAATTCTCTCAAGTGTAAAACATTGAACAATATCAGCATGAAATGCACTGTAATGAATCACTGGATAATGTGGAAACATTAGTTATCTGTCATGATGAATCAGATGGTCCAAATACAAGCAGATCTACCGGTATCCGTCAACTGAATAATCAGGACATTTAAGTAGAAGTAAACCTCCCGTCACTAAGTATCCATCACTGAATGATCAGATAGTCCATGTACAGGTAGAAATTCAAACTATCCTCATAGTCATATTAAAACAGATATTTACGATTTTCAGTAAGTCAGTAAACAGTCAGATTTTCAATAAACAGCAACTTGCTAAACTCATCTTGGATATGCTATAGTAGTTCATGCCTAGCATAAGATGGTTTTGGTGGCCTTCAATATTTCCTTCAAAAGAAGAATGATACGTAAAATCTTTTAAGCTAGGATTTCTTTCATCTTTTTCACACCCATAAATAGCAGTCTAAGTTCCACTTTCTTTAATTCGGATGAGATCCTTAAATGGGTTATTATCCGAAACCCATCAAAATAGCAGCCAGCAACCCAAAATCCATCTGAAGAGTTGCCAATAACTCAAAACCTATCTACAGCATACCTTCGAGTAACGAAAATGCAATCAATGCGACAATTTGGAACTCTTCCTCTGTCTCTTCATCTGTCGTACTGGTTTCATTTTCATTAAATTGAATGAAATTCTTATTTGAAATGTATCGTTATTTTGGAAATAATATTAGCCATTAAACTATTGTAGATACTTTAATAGCTACAAAATAACTGACAGTTTGGGGTCCAGTAACTTTTTGATTGTCTCTAGTGTGCAACCACAGACATGGTTTGGGATCTATCTCCAGCTTAGTTGACATTTCTGTCATATCGCCATATTACTTAGACCGACTCATTTAGAATGGTGAATTGATGTGACACGTAAATTAATCGGGGTTATGAACAAATTATGCGCGGAAAATTCCCGCGAAAATTCCGTGATAATTGGATAAAATAAGCTGCAGACATTTAATATTCCTCCTGCATGACCCTTTACTAATACTCTTACTCAATCTGTTATAATCTTTACAACAAGTCAAAACATGACCTAATTCCCTCCCGCTACCCCACCCCAAACCACCGGAACTCCGATGCTATGCTCTCCGCCGCCGCTTCATCTCTTCGTCCGAGTTGCCCGAGTCGACACGAAGAGCACATCCGTTATCGTATCGAAACTCAACTTATACGACCGAGACATGCCATTGCAGCACAAATTCCTGTTTTATTCTGACGTAGAATATGCTTATGTTATTATAGTGTTTAAAAGACTAATTGCTATGAGATAATCCATCCTTTCGAAGTCCGAGAAGGAAAACAGATTTTTGCCAATCTCATTCCTTAAAAAGCCATTTATCATCCAACTATTGGGTTCTTCTTACTATAAGATTATCAATTTCAGGCTTATCACTCAATTCTTCGTTTATCTTCTTTGCATAAAACTAGAATGGTAAATGGCCTATCCTTGACCCTATTTTCCTTGCAATATGACAAAGTTACAGGCTTATTAAAAAGTTTTAATAAAACTACAGGAATTATTTATGTAACGCATAATCCCATAATCAGTTTAATTCATGTTTGATAAAAATAAAAACAAAGTTTTAAAATTATCCGAAAAAATTTAAAATTATTAAAAATTATTATTAAAATTTAAAATTATCCGATCAGTTGAGAAGTTTACAAATGCCTTATTAACCCTTTCTCTCAAATTTTCTTTATTTTTAGCTTCATTACCTTTCGTGTAATATAAATGCAAACGAATCCGTCAGTATCATTCGCACGTAATCGTAGAACACGTGTATTATTCGTACATAATTGCAGAACACACTTATCATTTGCACATAATCGTCGGACACGTGTATTATTCGTACGTGATCGTAGAATACGTGACCTATTCTCCTAATCTATTTCATTTCATTACGCTTAATAACTAATTATCTCCAGTATGATAATGATTTCATTTAAAATATAGATCATATTTCAACATGAAGAAATTCATGAAGTGAACATCGATAAAATGGATGATGCTTTGAATTGCTGCAGAAGATGATGAGAATCTGGTGAAGAAAGAAAGGAAAAGAAAAATAGGATAAGGTGTGATATATTATAAAAAGTGATAAGTACTATAATAAGCATTGGAATAGTATTAGGATTAAGATTGTTTTGCTAAAAGTTACAATTATTATTGACAATTATAAAATGTCAGAATACTTCAACAAACTAACCGTTTAGCTTTAGTAAGTTTGAATTGAAATTAATTCTTTAATTTAATCAAACTTCTATTTATACTTTTTTTTTCCTTCTCTATGAACTGAAATTCATATGCAAATTGGTAATCGATTGTTAGTTTACATGTATGATGTTTTACGTCATATATGTGTATGCATGCGTAAATAGGTTCTAATGTTTCTTTTAAAATGTCACAATGAAATTCATTAACTACGAAATTCGCTAAAATGAAATGAACGAGTTAATTTTATTAGAACTTTCCAATTTGGTAGATTCAAATTATTTCAAAAAAGGAAGTTGTTAGGATACAATATTCAAATAAAATATTATTATATCGATAATTTTAGGAAAGAATTAATTATTGATAATTTTAGGGAATAACTAATATCCAATGTTACAAAGATAATTTCGTTAAAATACTACTTTAGTAGTAGTTTCAATGTTCATCCAAGCCAATAATACTTTCTATTGCAACTTCAAAGTGTGTATTTATTGAACCGATTTATCAAAAATAGGCTGTGCATAATTAATGCTTAAATTAATTCACATCTTTAAAAAAATTTTTGTCAACAATGCTTAAATTGTAAATCTAAAAAAAGTCTTATCATATTTTATTGATAAGTCTTGCATTAATCTGAAACATCAATGTCATTCTTGTTCTTTATTACCACAAAATAACAGCATAAACAATAAATAAATTCGTCAAGCTTATGATTAACATAATATGTAGATTAGTATTTGCTTTATTGATTCCTATTTGTCCTATTTAACAACATTAATGTCAAATTCTCATTTTGTACTTAATACTTTTGAATAATCAGGTTTAAAAATACATTCATTGCTAAATGTTTCAGGTTTAAAACATTTTAGTAATTCTTTCTTTTTCTCTCTCTCTCTCTCTCTCTCCCTCTCTCCTCCTCCTCCTCTCACTTATTCAAAAGTAACTATTTTGAATTATTCAAATATATATAACCTTTCGTGAACTCCGTAAGATCATTTCATCAAATTTCTTTCTTATATATATATATATAACATTCCGTGAATAACGTGAAGTTGTTTCATCGAATTTTTGTCTATTTGCTTTTTCAAAATTAGATTAAAACGATAGACTTAAAATTTGGAATTATGTATTTTAAAGTAAAATGAATTTATATATTTCAAATCTAATGAATCTTTATTCCAAAACAAAAGCAACAACGGATTGAATAGTGAATGAATTTAAATGTCAAAAGAGATGTCGTTATTTGAGCAAATGACATTGTTCGGTTATCGTTGGCACATCGTTGAAGTTTTCTTTTTTTTTTTTTTTCATTTCCCTTAATATCTGCACAGTATTTGTCAGAATTTTTCAAATTATTTTGTTTTATTTAAATTTCGAAAATTCTAATTAAATCTTTGGAACAATCGATGAACATTAAAGTTAGCTATGAATCATCAAATGGTTAGCAATGGGAAAATTAAGTTTGTGAAGATGAAGAAGTAAATGTGATGGAAAAAGGATGATAAAAAAAAAGGGACGAAGAATGCTGAATGATATGTTAGGAATAATTTTTATGAATATGAGAGAACTATAAATGGTTCAATTTGGTATACAATGTAACAGATGAATTAAATGGATGAAATTGTATAAAAACATGATTATTTGATGTGTTGATAATTTTTTTTTTTTATGTTAAAATGAATTCTCGAAAAAGTCATACATTCCCTAATGTAATCAATACTTCCTCTTCTTTTTTCTTTTTCGGATTCAAATAAAATACGTGCACAATTATTGTCGAATTTGTAAATTATATCATTTTACCTTTATTTTTTCATTCAGTCATACGTTGCAAACGCTCGAATGTATTGTAATGGTGAGGAAAATGATATTGAAGAGAATGAAAGCCGTGCTGAACAATGGGTAAGTTAAAATTTGACAAAATAATATCTCTCTTTTTTTTTTTAATGAAAAAAAAGAAAAGAAAACTTGAAGATAAAAAAATTTAACTTAAAAAAAATTAACGAAAAAAATTTAACTAAAAATCGAATTTAACTTGCTATAATTAATTAGTTTGTCATAATTAGTTCAACAAAAGAAGGGCGATTTTTTATGATGAAAGAAAAACAATCGTTAAATTGGTATTTGTGCAAAAAAAAAAAGAAGAAAAACGGGCATTAAAGAATCCAGTTATTACTTTGAAATTCTTTCAGCTAAAATTTTTTAACAATGTAAACAGTCATTGACTGTGGTATATCATCAATGGATTTCCATTTAACTATTTAATGGATCAAAATAAGTGATCAAACTATTTTTTTTAATTCGAAATATGAAATTTGATGGTTCTTATCCGATACGTTATAGCTTTACAAATAAAATTCTATATTTTCTAAATTGAACGAGAAAATTACTTGGTTGCTTTTAGATATTCATTACTGTTTCTAATTTACATTATCAGTACATTTCATTTTCTTCATTTTAGTTTCATTTAGTTACGATTGTTTCGCTCTTTTTTTTACTTCTTCATTACGTACGATATTTTTATTCAAAAGTTTCAATTTTTCAGCAGAATTATATGGCAACGAAAAAAGCCAAACTTCAATATCAAGTAAATGTATTGGACAAACACGAATGCATCTCCTGTATTTTTAAAGGCATTTCAATTTTCGTTAATGGTTATACAGGTGATTCATTTTATTTTTCTGAGTAGAATGAAAGGTAACGAAATTAAGAGGAGATTTTTAGTGGAAATTATATTGTTTGCTGAAAGTTATAATAGAAAACACATAATTTAGGTGGAAATCTCTAGAAAAGTTTCTTCTGGATAAGCATTAGAAACAATCATACGTGACTTTGTTACATTCCTCTTAAACGTGTCAGTGCAAGGAAATCGTAGTAATCTGTAGGTGGTTTACACAAGCTCACAGTAGTCAACGGTAAAATGAAAGCAGTATGAAATTGCCGTTATTACAGTATAAAGGAAGAACAATTTTTTGAGTCCCTTATGTGTATTTAAGGTACGTGCACTCAAGATACACGGACCGCATTGTTTGTATTATCAAAGTGCATGTGCATTTGTGAGTGCGAAACGTGATGTTTGCATGAATTCAGATCCACCAGCAGCGGAATTACGAAAGTTAATACATATGCATGGTGGCGAATTTCATATTTACTACAAACATGGCACTACAACCTATACAGTCGCTACACATTTAGCCGCTGGTAAAGTGAAGAAACTTCGAAAGGAAGAGAAAATCATTCATCCGAGATGGCTTACCGATAGGTCACCTAATAAATTATTGGAGACTTAACTATGTTTTTTTTTTCATTGCGTTATTCATGAATTACCAGAACTTATCAGTTCATTGCAACGAATCTTTGATGATGAAACGACCTCTGCATGTTTAGAACTTCTGGAAGCAGCTAGACGAAGTTAAATTTTAAGTTGTATGATTCAGTGAAAAGGTTTTGCATTTGCAGTGTCAGAGCAGGAATTCGATTACATGAAGACGATTATTTATTGTATAAAGATGGTGCACTGCAAACAGCCGTGGCAAAACGACTTGCAGTTGGAAGTTATAGCTCCCCAAAAGAAGGATGTGCTACGAGTGCTGCGAATGATCCAAATTTTGTGAGTAACTTTTATGAGAGGTAAAGAGATCCCCTTATTCATCGTAATTTATTTAGAAATGATGCTTAATGAGAATATTTAGAGTGGAAAATAATAAAACAAACTTATTTGTTATAATTTTCCAACCAGTACGAATTATTTTAAAGAATTGAGGGGTTTTTTCTATTTTGTTTTTTTTTTTAAACTATTGGAAAGTCGTTGCTCTGACGTTGCCGTTTATTCTATCCAGTACAACCTTTGAAAATATTTAGAATATTTTAGATGACCAATTTGGAACTTAAAATTATTTTCACAAACGATAACGTGCGATTTTCTTTTTTTTTGATACATCTCACAATTTGTCTACTGATGACTTAAAGATGGAATGAATTTTAGATCTCGTCTACATTTAATTTCAACTTTGGCACAAGAAATGAAGCATTACGTAAACGAGTTAAGGGAAAATCAAACTGATAATTTTCCTTCACGCGTACATCTCCAGCATTTGATTGATAAGGATTTCGCGAAGTGAGCAACTTATTTCTGAAGTATTTGGATTTTTAATTCCACCAATTAAGAGAGCTAATTTTCATTTCATTCAGCATTTTTTTTACAATATGTTATCGACTTTTAGAAAAATACAGTGTTCAAGAAATAACAGTAAATTGCATCACTTGAGTAATTTTTATTCGTAGATATATAAATGTAGCAAAACTTTTTATAGCGTTACACGTTACACACGATATTGTGTGATGAGCTATTTCAATTTTTTAGTCCTCCAAAGGAGACCATTTGCCACGTCGATTTGGATTGTTTCTTTGTGTCGGTTGCACTAAGAACTCGTCCAGAATTGGTTGGAAAACCAGTAGCCATTACCCATTCAAGAGTAATTTTTGTAAATCCTCTGCAGCACATTACGCTTAATTATGAAATTGACCATACGACTGTTAAGTTACCATTGGTTCAGATTACTTAATCTTATCAGTATGCAATAAATAGTGTTTTTTTCCGGATGATTTAAGGAAATATGTTTTATCTTGCTTCAATTATCGCCCGACATTTCATATCATTTTATCAGTATTTTTGTCTGTGTTGTTCAGGAAAATCAATTTATCATATTTGATTGTTTTGTATCTTTTTAAGGGTACAGAAGGTGCTGGTATGTCCGAAATTGCATCATGCAGTTACGAAGCCCGAGCACAAGGTGTTCGTAATGGCTGTTTTATTAAAGACGCGCGGAAGGTATGTCCGGATCTCATTTGCCTTCCTTATCAGTTTAACGATTATCGACAGATTTCAAGGGAAATCTATTCAATTTTATCAGGGTTTGTTGCTGGATATGTTGGTCTATTCGTATTTATTTTGGAGTATTTAGTACTGAGCAAGTATTTGAATGTTTTTTCGAAACACATGTTGAAAATTTAAGTACCATTAATCAAGCTGAATCTAAGTCTAAAATGCAGAGAGGTGACGAAATGTATTGTATTAAAAATGGATTTTCATTTGAAATAGAATTATGCCTATGCTACCGCGGTTAATTACAGCATCCATTCGATCATTTTTGTTGGAGCTTAATTCTAAATTTACCACGGTTGCTGTGAGTGAAAGATTAGGGATAAAAAAAAAAAAGTTCCCAATGCTTTGAAATAATTATCTACTGCTTACTCAAATATGAAATAACGCATATTATCCTAGACTTATTACCTTTCATTAAGCAATAGTCAGTGACACTAACGACGTAGTGTGCTGATGACTCTTATCAAATAGCAGAATTGAAAAGTTTAACTGACGATATATGTCCTTCATTCTTTTGCTAACTAATTTTTCTAGCATGTTGACAGGTATATTTAGGTATACGCACAATATTCGCGCTGTAAGTTGCGATGAGATGTATGTTGATTTGGAAACCTTATGTAAGGAGATGCATATAGCAGATGTAATGGGCATTATATCTGTGATACGGAGTGAAATTTTGACTAAAACAGGCTGTAATGCTTCTGTCGGTATTGGTAAGTTGTCATTATTTTCGTAAAAGTTCGCAATGATTAATACATTTATCGTGTACACAACAGCGTCGTTAGTTTATTGTTTACCATTTGAATCCTTTTATTCTAATAAAAATAAACGTTCCACTTGAAAGAAGTGTTACTGATAAAGTGTATTATGAATATGTTTAGGAAATACAATGTTAATAGCTCGTATAGCAACTCGGCATGCAAAGCCGAATGGCCAATTCATGATCAAATTGGGTGATATCGATGAATTGATCAGGAAAGAGAAAATTTCGTCTTTACCCGGAATTGGTTATAATATTTGCGCAAAACTTAGAAAGTAGGAGTTTATGTTTTATAATTATTTGAATAATGTTTCCTATCAAATTAACGATCTCATGAATTTAATTAAAGTTGGGAGATCTTACAGTGCATTCGGTGAGATGAATTTATGTGAGGATTTGCAAAAAGTGCCCATTGATCGTTTGCAAAATCTTCTTGGTGAAAAAATTGGAACTCAGGTTAGTTTCGAAAACATGACCAAAGGCTTATGTATACTTACATTATAAACCAAATTGATTTCAACTATATTTCTCTCCAAAAGTGATATATGCTTACGTCAGGCTATTGCTCATTCTTGAAAAATTATATTATAGTAGCTCAAAGGCTGAAGTTTTTCTTAGAATTCTGATTGGAACCTATGTCACATTTCAGTTATATTTTGGATCTATTTCATATTAACTACAGATCGAGCAACAAATTCGTACTTAGCACAAATAGATGAAGTCATTTTTATTCTTCTCTTTTTACTTAATTTCCTTTTTCCATATTTTCAGATATATAACATGTGTAGAGGAGTGGATAAAGAAAGAAATTTTTTGGAAAAGATTATCCGCAAATCTATTTCGTGTGATATAAATTATGGAATTCGATTTAAAAAAGTATGAATTCTTTCAGTTATTGTCATTTGGACACAAAAGATTGGTTATGTCATGATTCCGAAGATTTCCGAAGAATTATGTCATGACTTTTTTTTTCATGATTTCGTGAAACGTTTCAGGAAGATGAAGTAATGGAATTTCTTGGAAAAATATGTTCAGAATTGGAAAAAAAACTTCATATAGCCCGGATGACTGCGTCTACTATTACCCTTAAATTACTGGTAAAATGATTATTTGAGATTTTTAAGTGGATGACAAAAAATTTCGTCTTTAAATCATTCTAAATATTATTTGTTTATTATGTCTAAATATTATTTATAATAGATTCGAGCACCAGATGCACCCGTTATAACAGAAAAATATTTGGGTTGCGGGAGATGTGATGTAGTTACAAGGACAGCTCATGTGAGGGATGCTACTGCAAATAATGCAGTATTGCATGCAGAAGCAAAAAAGTTAATGAAAGCAATAAATCCAGTTATATGCGATTTGAGAGGAGTGAGCATTCTTCTTTGTTTACTTTATTATTATTTTTTCATTTTATTCATTCCTTAGTTTTTTTTATTTTTTTTATTGACACATACGTGATTGGTGCTTTTAAGTTCTTTGATGTTATTTTTGCTCATAAAAGGCAGTTAGTTTGAATATGTAAACTAAGCTATGGAAATTCTTTTTTTTTTTTACTAAAAGTGCACATATAAATTAAAGCAAACTTTTTCCCATGTTCACAGATTGGTATCCAATTAACTCATTTAACTGAAATACCGAAGGTATTAATCAATGATGAGCAACCCATCAATAGAAATACGTTGACACAATTTTTTGCTGTGAAAAGTAGAGGACAACAACATGTTATTGGAAAAAATGAAGGGAAGAGTGAGGAAGATATTGCTTTAGAGTTAGCGTTGAAGGAGTCGCTTAAAGAAAGCAGGCGAAATCGTCGGGTAAGTTCATACATTATTAATTGCAAAATTACACTGACATTGTGATCTTTTTATTAATTTAATTAATCATTTAATATTTGCGGTTTCAGTCTACTATTCCTGATTTCAGTTAGCTGTCCTGCCAAATTCGATATAATTTTCTGGTTCTCAATAGTTTGCTGAACTTTTTTTCACAAATACAAGCTATCACATTTTGCTCATAGTGTAGCTGTACAAATGAATTAGGTTATTAGGAATAGTGGTTTATTGATTGGTGAAGTAATTAATCTTTAATGGTTATTGCTTACAGTAATGTAATTCGACAGCCAGCGCATTTGGACCATTTTGAATGACTGATTTCTTTTTTTTCTTTTCTTTCTTTTTTTTTAAAGTAATATACTCTTTTGTCCTTTTATGTGTTTGGTTGCTTTTCAATGAAGACTAAAAAACAACCGAATAATATTTTGAATCGATGTCGATTTTTTTTTCAGTATCGTAAAGAAACTATCCATCCGGATTATCGGAATTATTTCGAGGATGAAGATGTGAAAGCTGAATTTTTGCGAATACTGCAGCATTATAAATGTGAATTTTGATTATTGTGAATTTTTTTCATTAGGATATCTATCCCAAGTAAATGTAGGTAAATAAAGTGAACCTGTCTTGTCGTTTTGTTGTTAACAAAGAAACTTCACTTCGTTTCACATTTTAGAATTAAGATAATACAGGAAAAACTGTTTGCAACTACTGGCTACTGTTTACAAAAAACGGAGATTGAACATCCACAAATGAGTTTTAGTATTTTTTTTTTTTCAGATCCTACAGCGGAAGTGGTATCAGAAATGGCAACATATTTTGGTTTATTGGTAAAAAACGGTGATTTGAGTGATGTCATATCACAGCTTAGGTTTTTGCAACGTGAAACGATAAACTTTTCATTGGAATGGATTATTGTAGTGTCCTCTTTAAAAGTTGAATTGAATCATCTTTGTGATACAATATATGGTTCGTTATTATTTCGTTAAGTGTGATTTGATCATAAATACTTTCTTGTACTAACAGCGTTTCACTTCTAAATCTTAAGGTTATCTATTCATGGAGTGATGATTTTCCATGCACATTTCTTTCTCACTATTATACCTGTAAAATAAGTTAACCAACTTCTGTAAATTATGTACATATATAATATTGAAAATTGTAGTACTTTTACAAATAATAATTGGCTGTGATGATTGATTCAAAACATAGTATTTATACTCTCTCTGTCTTTTAAAAAAAAAAAACTCAACGATTTTCTCGATGTTTGAAGGAAAATTAGGAACATTTAGAAGAGACAAAGTTTCTTCGATATTGAGACTGGTAATTTGCGGCGTTTCATGGTGTATCGTTAAATATTTAAAAAATTTTCAAGAAATTCTAGAATTTACTGTGTTTACCATTCGCCTTTCATATACTGTATCATTAATTAAAAAGAAAAAAGGATACTGAAATGAAATCAACAATGGTCACTCTCCCAAACATAAATCCAGGGGAGAAACTAAATCAACAGTATATGAAGCATTGAGAATCTTGTAATCAGAACTTTTGGAATCATTTCACAGATTACAATTGAAAAACTATCAAAATCGCTAACAGTATGTAAACATCATTCCTTGCATCTCAAAGTGAATTCAATTTTAATTCTTTTCATTATTCAGATCAAGGTGAGCATGTCGGGTTTTTTTACCTTTCAAATAATGCATCTGAAAGGTCAGTTAAATTTTTCGGTTAAATTGTGTCTAATGGTCAGTATTATCCATCACCTCATCGTCCATGCAACATTTTCTCTTAGACTTAGACTTGCATAATAAACAAAAAATCCAACTTTTCGCTAGCATAAACTCAAAAGTTTAATGATTTGCCTCGACCATGTTGATGAAACGGTAGCTGACCTAAGGCATGTCCTTAATTTGAGAACTTCATATTACGGAATTAAAAAATTGTAAATTGAGATGTAATCCTTTAATACAAGTATCTATTTGTATTAAAATTATCAACATTGTCCAATTGGATGAACGATATCTCCAAATGTGTCACATTTATTACAATCATATGTAAACTTTTAAAATATATTAACGATCCCAGCTACCAAAACTTTCTGTTTTACTCTCAGTTCACAAAATAATGATAAGAATAAAATGTTATGCAGTGCAGCAAATCAGGGCAAAAGCCAAAAACATTTGTTTTCGGTTCATGCAAAACATAAAATGCATTAAAATTACATAAAAGGATATCTGAATCTTTCCCATAATAAGACATCTTTCCTTCTCCTCTCTTTCATCATTATAATTTTCTGATAATTTTCCGACATCTCAAGTAATCATCGTTTCTTCCTCCTGTACTTATTATACCTTACAACTATAGCTACATGCTATCCAATACGAAATCAACAGTGACATGTGCTAGTTATACATTATGTCTCTAACTTTTTCTGGTATGTATTATCAAACAGAAAAATTGCATTCGCATGTAATCGTAATACGTTGATAAGTCAAACAAAATTATATGCAAAGCTATAACAATTGTAGTAAAGTTTTATTCTGTTTTATTCTGAGTTCCTTTTCAACCATGATGCAATGCTCGTTTTCACTTTGGTACCTGTATCTGCAAAATATTTACTAGTGTTAACAACAGCTGATGCTACACGGCGACCACTTCCCGTACCACCAACTGAATGCTCCATACGTAGCAAAACATCCGATATACCAAGACCACCAGCAAATGGATGCCTGCAATGCACAGATAATCTTATCTCTCAAATGAATCTTTTATACAACATGTCAAACCTTTCATGAACCTTATACACAACATGTCAAACCCTTCATGAACCTTTTATACAAGATGTCAAAGTCTTCAAGATCGCTTTACAATGAGAGATACAATCTTCCAGATAAGCCTATCATTTTGTATTATAATATAATGGATGCCGACTAACTATTGCAATAACAAAACAAGAGTGAATGATTATGATAACGACAAAGGATAATAATATTTGCACAATCTTAGACACCTAAAGGATTTTGCTGAGAAACTAGCGTCTTAAAGATAACAAGGAGTGACTAGGAAGTCGTTAAGAGAGAAAAATGTTTTTAAGAGCAAAATTTTAAGAGAAGAGAATTATATTATCTACTTTGCAGCAAAATATCAAGTTTCATGGAGAATTTAACGCTTTAAACGAAACTTAAGTGAAGTCAACAATCAATACAAAGTGAAGCAAAGTAAACAATATAAATGGTAGACACTGACTACTTTCTTGAAGCCAAACTAATACTTTATACAGTAACGGGTTACACACTAAAAGGAATAAAATTGAAAAGACAAACCCTGGAACGGTGGATGCCAAATCAGGATAGTCACCACAGGACCAAATCCGATAATTATTGCTCATTTTCCACTCAGCTATGAATGCTTCATTAAAATCATCCAGGGAATCTTTCAAATCAGCACGAACAGTAGCTATGAGTGATAACAGATATGCTTGCATTTGCAACCGTATCCAATCATCACTACCTTCCCAACCTGTAATTAAAAAATAAGAAATTATACTTTGAAAGAAATTTTGAAACAAATTTTTAGAATTTTCAAAAGGTTTAAAAGTAACATAAAACGAATAAAGTAATCAATTTAGTTACGGCTTAATTTGTTTATATACCTCTCTTACCTCTCATTTATTAATAGTAGCTTCTCCAAAAAGTGCCTTACCTATTATAGCGTCAGTAATTAGCCCAAATATCTAAAACATTAATTTCTTTCAAATTTCAACCAAGAATTTCACATATTCAATTACAGAAGTTGTGACTAAAAATTACAAAACATCACAGTTGAATCTAAAGCAATTAAAAGCATACCAGACGATAAATGGTAAGCTACAAACAGTATAAAAATGTAAGAATTCCTAAGTTATCACTGAAGATTTTCGTGATAATATCTATTGCGATTCTGAGCAGAGTAATAATCAATTTAATAACAAATACTGACATGAAAATAGCAAAAAGCATACTTGGTAATTTAGCATTTGCTTCCATTTCTTTTAATATAAAATCGACAAAACGTAAATCTGCAGCTGTTAATGCCAACGATCGTTTTAACTCAACATCAACAATATCGATACTTCCATCGCCTACTTCATCAACCTTAAAAAGAAATTTTGCAATTTTCACATCTGGAGAAAACTGTAACAAAATAACATCAAATGTTGCCTAGAACCAGCTCATGAAAGTTTCATTACTTAGTATTCTTCTTTGTTTGAATATCTTACCTGTTCAAGTGAAATAAATGTAAGGAAATCAGGTCTTCCAGCTATTTGATCAGTGTAAACAGCTTTTTGCTGGTGATACTATCATTACATGGACACAAGCAAACGCTATTGCTCGAAAATATATCTTATTGTGCCATTCAACTATTAATTCCGTTTATGGTATCTTTCGTGAACTATAATAATTAGATTCCGAAATGTAAAAGAAGCATACCGTGCCTCAGTAAAGCTTAACAAAATGCAACCACACGTTTTTCTGATTGTTTACATAGAATGCGCTAAAATATAAAATAAAGTACACTTTAATTTATTCATCTTTCTATAATGCTGATGATGGTACTACAAGGGAAGTACTTGATGCATATGTCCAAATTTCAAGATTTCGAAATAAACTAAGAATCATCGGTAATATAAAATCCTAAAGTGTAATAGTATAGTAGAAGTCTTTTTCTTTTTAATAAACAGAAAGCTTATTTACAGTAACTATAACATCCAACAAATCACGACGTTGAACAAACAGAGCATTCGTTGCACCGATGCAGTAAGCTCGTGTCATATCGGAACGAATCATATCCAGATGGCTGATACTCAAGTAAGGATGAAATAATGAACCCTATAATGATTGATATTCGTCTTTTTATAGAGAGAAAAAAAGGGATGAGAAATAAGAAGAAAGTTTCAATTCGTAGTCGTAATCCTCACAATTGAGAATTCATAATCGTAATTTAATGATTAATTTACGAATATGGCTTTTAGATCCTAACTTTAAAATCCATATTTCAAGCAAAATTATTACTTTCGTGAAAATACTTAGTGGGAAACCGTACGAATCGGTGGCCAGTATTTGCTTTCGGTTCAAATTTGAACAGCTTTTACCACTACTATCACTTGACAACTGTATTTCGGACACGCAATCCCCGTCTGATGCTGATAAATCTTAAAATAAAAATAGTTTAATAGTAAGGAAGTATATAATTTCAATTCAGATATTTATTTAGCAAAATCATACTAAAAGTAAAACCTTTGTGAACAAATTCTACGGGGTTGTTTCCACTCACTTTGTTTCTTTCGAAATTTACGCTAACTGTCATGTCATCGCCAAATTTTAGAGCTGTGTCAACTAATATATCTTGTCCCACTTCTAAAACAAAAAGGAACATTTATGTCCTACAACGGTTATCGGAAGATGAAAAAATAAATCAACACTTTGATTCAAGTTAGATTTTCATTAAAATAGCTCTTAAATTGGAAATATACATCGCACATTGAAAATATACACCTGAATTTGCAACTGGAAAAAAAATCAGTGCTAAATTTGCGGAAAGCAAAACTGATTTTCTTATTCAGAAGTCCATTAATTGCAATAAAAAAAATTACAAATTGTTACAAAATTCAATACTATAGAATTTGAAAATAGATGATTACTTATTTTATTTCCTATAAGAGAACACCGAAAAGCTGATGAGGCGAAAATAGACTTTATGCCAAATAGTTATGCACAAATACTTTATCCACTACTCAATTTCATGTTATAAATATAAGTAATGGAATAAAATTAGAAACAATAATTATATGCTAACCATACCAAAATTATCATTATCCACAGTTATATCTAAACATTTTAGCGAATTTGGATTGTATGCAGCTGCATGAAACAAGCCTTCTTCGACCAATCCTAAATAAATTAAAAACTGCTTGAATCATTTACTTTCTTCTAGATTTGGAAAATGAGAAAAAGTGAACTGTGAGTGATAACACGGAGATGGATCTAAGACGTTCGAGTATTACAAACAGAAAAAATAAGTGCCGGAGAGCTTATTACACATGGTCGGCAATCAAATACAAATCAAAAGAACAAAAGAATCACACTAAAAATGCAATAATAAAACAGTAAATTGCTACTGCTCTTCGAGAAAATATTCAAATATTTAACAAATATTGCAGAAAATTTAAAAGTTAATTTTAAAAATTTGCTAGAACTATTTTAAGCCGAAACCTATAAAATTCTCCTAAGAATTTGAATGGATCAAAAACCAACAGGTATATTTCAAGAAAAAACAAAAAAAAAAGATGCTGCAAAAAATGAAGGACTCTGCTAAAAAAGACATTACGTGGAAAAAGTGAAGTGAGTGCAACCATCAGCTGACTTAATTGAAATACTGGCGATATGTAGAACACAACCTAAACAACAGCATACCTTTTAAAAAAAAATTTCATAATTAAACACCGAAGAAAATCTAATCAACAATATTTAGCTTTATATAAGGAATGAACAGAAAGGAAAAGAAGAAATTCTGAAGACAAAAGATGGTTAGAAAATGAATTCTCTGGTCGAACTATGATTATTCAACATAATGTTATTCTTTATGACAATAATGCTGCATGCTAGAGTGAGCCGTAATTGGATTTCTCAAAAGAAAATTATTTATAAATAATTTTTGTTTAGCTGAATTATCCCTTATTCTCAATGCATCGTTGTCATTACATTGAGAATAATAATGAAACCACAACACTTAATTGAATTTCCTAAATTATTTTCATGACTTTCAAAAATTTTTTTTGAAATAATTCAAGGAGATTTCAAGATTAAATAAAATTTTCCTGGAAGAGAACAAATTACCTTCTTTTCTAATAACAACAATTTGAATAATACTAATACGCGATGTCTGAATGTCGTTACAAGAGATTGCACTGAGATATCTGCAAAAATATTTTTCTTTGTTTACAAAAAATCTTTGGAAAATTCATAGTTTCACGTTACGACTATCTACTAAGATTGATGTGCAAACTTGAAACGTTCCGAAACGAGAGAAATTGATGCCACATAAGTTTCTCACATCCGCAACATTTCAACATTACATATCAACCTTAATAGATAATAGTATACTAAATGAAACAACACAAGACTTATATATCGACATTAAAAAAAAAAAAGAAAAAAAATAAAAACTATACAAATAATTGAACAGAAAGACATGAAAATTACTTCGTTGCTAACTTCACAACTTCAGAATGCTAATTTATAGATGTATCTTCACGTTCAATCAATTCTTACGACAATTTTATTTAGGCTTAAATGCTTTTATGTTGCTCCAACTATTATTACTGAATAAAGTTGAAATTTAATATCAAAATGACCTAAACGTCAGTTTTCTGAATACTCTTCTGAGCAACATTTTAAATATCTCATAAAAAAAAAGAAATAAATATCTCATAAAAGTTAATCATTTTAAATATCTAATAATATCTCATAAATATCATTTAAATATCATCATAAAAATATCTCATCAAATACATACCCATAACTGCAGCTTGCTCATCAGCTACGGTATCCGGAAACATTTCACAAAGATTTTCATACATTTGGCGCAGCACATCAACCTACAGATTTCGCAAGATAATGTGAAAAAAAGCGGTGGGAGAGTTAATCATTAAAACTTTTCCCTCCTCCGTCAAATTTTCTAAGTGAGATTTTTCCTACGTGAGATAACTAACAACATGAAATCAGAGGAAGTGTCAAAATATCCTCGCCTAACTTTTCAACAGTTATTCATTTAATACCATGATTGTAATCCAGACTCCAATGATCTATTCTATCAAACTTTTAAGGACCGATTAGTCGAAGAGAAATGAAAAAGCGATCCAAAAAGCCACCTTAGCAAAATCCCTTTCGTTAAAATAAGCTTTTGTGATAAGTTGTAATTTAGCGGTCAATACGCCAAAAAGTGGTACTCGAGATAAGACGCAAACACTCTTCTGTACACTACTCCGGGTGACATCCGTTGATTTGTTCAGAAGATCCTTGAAGCACAAAATTTTTGAACTTAATTAATAATTGAAAAAAAGAAAAACTGAAATAACTCCTTCGTAATGAAAATAACGAAAGCAAACTTGTTACAACGGTGAAAACAATAGGAATAGCACTAAATGAGATGATAATGATGCAAACGATGATAATAACTGTAACAGTAATAATATTAATAGTGAACAAAAATAGTAACCTTGGTAGAAATCTGGCGATAACATGAAATTCCAAAGACTGATCGATTCGGATCATTCAATGATGGCAACAGAAAGTATATTACGTCTAAAATCATTTTAAAAAAGGAAGAGATCAATATGATTATTCCATAAACTTGACAAAAGAACTAATATATATAGTTGAAAACTTAGCCGAAAAAAGATGTAAACAGACAATACATTTCTATTTGTCCATTCTTTGAAGACTACCTCATAGATGATTATCAATGCAACAAAATCTCAAAATCTTTAAATATGTAAAGTTTACCTTTAAAAGCACGAAAAAAGCGAAGTTTCCTATTGTCTTGGAGTAAAATGAATGTTATGAGAAATGAAGAATACAACTAAGTATAAAAATTAAATAATATTTTCAACATTATTGTTCAATAAAGATAATAAAAGCAGGGAGAAAGACTACAAAGCATGTATAAATTCCACATGTACCATGATCGACGTTATGCGCACCATCAGGAAGTGCAAGTGACGGTAAATTCTGCCACGCTAATGGAAGTTCTCCTTCATTATCTGTTATAGGTGGATAACAGTATTCGACCTGAAAAGAATGATCAGAGATATATTTGTACTTAATTATTTATAAATCCCTAATTAAATAGACTACAATTGAAAATTCTGATAAAAGAAATATTGTAAAGCTCACAAAATTATATTATTTCAAATAGGAGATTTTAAAACACCATTAATCCTTACTTTACCTAAAATTTCATTTATTAAATTCACCGAATGACCTTATCTACAAATGTTAGTCAGTGACCTCTCCAACTCAATCCCAGCCTTACTCATCAATTCACTGATCCTACCAAATTTACTTGATAATCAGTATTGCTTCTGTTAACTTCATCAATTACCTGACATCCCCGTTTGTGATGAAAACCAATGACGGCAACGTAAAGAATTGAATTGACCATTCATGAAAGAACATTTGATGCTTACAGAGCACAAACATTTAATGACCTGTCAATATTGAGTAACATCTGAAAAAAAAAAAAAAAAAAAACCAACAGTTACGTGATGAAACGTAATATCTAAAATCAAATACATATAACAAGAAAAATAATATACGCGAAATGAAAATAATATAGTATGACATCATCATGCCACAGATAACGTAAAAATAAAATAACATAAAATTACAAATATAACATGAAAACTACAAAAGAAATTATAAATAGATCTGCTATGAAATATATGATAATCAAACCTAAATATAAACCAATGTAATGTATTATTTTCAAATGTGAAATATCAGATATAAGTACAATATGTGATCAAATTACATAAACCAGTGTGCAATAACGTGATGTAAGTAATAACAATTATAATTCAGCAAAAGCTTACGTCAAACCTGACTGATACCATCAAATGATTGACGTATAGAAAATAAAAACTTAAGAAATCTAATCGTTTAAAAACGACCAATTCCAAAAGTTTCATTTTTGATTGACATATGTTAGGTTCATTTCAGTATTATATTTCTCAACGATTCCCTAAGTTTCAACAGCTATTTTTGCTTTGACTGCTTATCAGTTACCTGCCGTCATTCCATTCCCGCTTCTGCCATCATATCAAGTTTCATAAAACATTTATAAATTAAGTGGTAATACAAAAATAAACACTTGAAATATGTGAATTCAACTATTTTTATGATGCATTACGGTATCGATAACATTGTCACTTCTTCCCATATGGCAATCTTAACAATACCGCTGATTTTTAAAAGTTTGTGAAATATCTAAACATGAAGAACTAATGAAATATAAATCGTAATCATTTGCTGGATATTATACAACTATCTGCCATATGTAAATCGTAACATAGCAAATAATGCGACAGACTGATTTCTTAGTACCAAATTTTATTCTCATTCAATCAAACAATACAATATACAAAAAATTAAAGCACAGATTGTTTAAAACCGTTAATATGCAAATAGAAAAAACGCGTTTATTTAATTAAGGAACAAGATGTAGATTTTTTATTCAGATACGGCAAGTTCCGCAGGAAATATCCAGAAAAAATTAAATCAATACACCAGCAGAAACAAACGAAACTGTTACCTAATTCCGTCTGCAGAACTACAGCGACGTAGTTAAGGAATATAACTCATCGGAAGCTGAAAACACATTGTTCATACTTAACTTAAAAAAATTTCATTCGCATAAGGCACCTGATTCAGAAAGTTGGATAACAAATACCTACCGATAGTCCATAAAAGTTTTGCGAGACCCGAAAATTGCTCATATAACTAAAAACAAAAATGAACAAATAAAACAGTAAATCTACTGAAAAACCTAAAGCAATCAAATATTTACGGCAATTTGATAAGCGTAATTATATGGGTAGGATAAATAAAGATTATAAAAATAACAATAACTGGATGATCCATGAAATAAAGGCGAGATCAAAAATGTTCGAAAAAAAACGATTTAGGCTGTGGCGCTGTAGAGAATTTCAATATTTTAGCAATGGATAGTAAATCGCGACATTTAAAATTGTCAGATATTCAAATGAATGCTTTCGTATTATAGTGCCGATATATGCTTTACTTGGCGAATATTCATCCATTCGAGAAAGCTCAGAATATCAACCGTTTTTACTATTTTCTTTCTGGATTTCTTCCCTAAGTTTACTTATTGGGTAGACTGTTATATGTTAAAAAAATATGCTAAATATGTTAAAAAAGGAACATGTTTTCCTCAAAAAAAGGAAAAAAAGAGGAAACATTAGAAGGAACAGAGCTGGAATAACCACAACCTAAAAGAAGGAATAAACGTTTTACATGTTCACCATGAAAATACAAAGACATAATTGCTTGAGCAAAACAATGAGTTCATGTGCTACCTGAATTGCCTTACTGTTTAAACGTTAACTGAATGATATAATGATCCAAAAATGAAAACTTTGGACCAGTACAATTTTAAGTGAATCACCAAATTCTAAAACTATTATATTTTTGTATGATGGATGGCATGATTCAGCAAGTACTATCAATCACAATCCCGTAAGCATGCGTACCGATGAGATCGTAAATACATCATGACGGTATGAAAACCACTTCTAACGGATACCTGTTAAAAACAATTGCAATCTTGTATGCAAAAAAAAAAGACAATGCGAACAATTCATATAAAATGAATTTGAAAATTTCAAATAATTCAAATATCTAAAAACTTTTCCCAAAAGGAAATCCAGTATTAAATTTACTGAGCCATTAGCTTCTACATGCTTTCTAAATTAAAGCGACTTCTTGGTTCTCCGGATAAGCTCAAGAATCAATAATACAGAAACGAATATACATCACGAATTTAGTAGCCATGGATTCTCTGCAACAGTACACGGTGTGCGGTCCCCATAATCATACAGTAATTCTTCACCAGTACCGATGTTTCGCTTAGCGATCAATATCAAATGTTTCGCTCCATTCAATTCAACAACCTTAACGTAATAATATATAGATTCATTTCGTTTTCACATAAACGAACGAATTAATATAACAACATTGTCACAACTGATTGCTATTAACACACGTAGTGTGATTCAAAGACATTGCCAAGAGAATAGCGAAGAAGTGAATTGAAGTCTTAGTGTACACAGCGTTTACGATGTTGAATAGAACAATGATCTGATGCAATCTATCTCGAAATGTTTCGACACTGTTTCCCATTCACTGCCATTAATCCAATGTCAAAATTGCAGGACAGGTGAGTGTGGGAAAAGCGAAATTTTTTAAAAAAAAGCAGAAAAACAAAATTTCTCTACATTTAACATACTTTTGTTTTGAGATTCGGTTTAATCACAGAATGATTTATCAGACGTCCCTTGTAGGGTGTTTCATCTGTAGCATCAACACAATATTGCTTATTTTGATATTTGAAAAAATACATAAATGAGCCAATGCTATTATCTTTGGCATATTCTCGTTCGCGAATCCTTGCCAGTCTCAGATCAATTATTTCACCTGAAACCTTACGTTAAGATTATAACATTAGCACCTTCGGCAATCAATTCATCATCTCATTCCAATCGATTTTCTAACTGATAGAGATGAATTTGCAAAGTAATCCAAAGAGATCAAAAGACATAACTGATCTCCACCTAATAACAGAAAATGACTCCATCATCACAACAAGTCTTGGCGAATTTTTAAACCCTGACTCCATAAAAGTGAAGTGAACTCCAAAGTCTGCACTACACCATATAATATATTGATCTCAATTTTACCTTTATACTCGACCACAAATTCATTCTTTTGAAAACTTCGCAAGGTACGAATTCCACGACCTTTTTCTTCGCATTCGAAAATCTCAAGGAATTCCTCATTACTACCTGTTAAAATAGCATTTGCCATTGCATCACGCTCTTCTTGCTGTAAATATCGGAAGCAAAACTTAAAATATAATCGTAGAAGTGATTTTTCAAAATGTGAAATAATTTTTTGGGGAAAAACTCTTACATCAAAAAAGTTTGACATCCTGAATTTCTTGCCGAACTAACAAACGCACAAGAATCTGCTAAATATTAAGAATTACAGTAACCTAAAAAAAGAACTGACTTCAAGCTGTTTTTCCGTTTTTCGATTGCTTCGACGAAGCGGAAAGTACTCGGTGATTTTATGATTTGAAGTATCATCGGCTTTCTCAGTTCCTTTCCCAACAGATCTTTCCTTCCTGCAAAAGAAGAAAAAAAAATGTTGAGAAACATTACTTGTCATATTTGGATGAAAAACGAGGTTAAAAACTATGTTATTCATAGTGAGAAAAACGAAGAGAACTGGTAAGATAGTACGCAGTTAATTAGCAACAACACTCGTTAAGGCATAATCGAAAAGCTAAAAGAGGAACGGTTTTGATCGATGAGATGTGAATGAAGTTATTTACTGCACATAATATAAAAGAAAATATATACCTTGCCATCTTTTTCTTAGCACTTCGAAGACCACCACGTTTGCGATCGACTATTTTGTCAAGCATTCGATTCGACAACGCTGACAGTGGCAAACCCCTGAAATCAGCTCGTACAAATAGTAAATTAAAAAAAAAAAAGGAAAAACTGAGGGTAAACGATCTCATAAAATGAAAAATCTCTTCATAGAAAAAAGACGTTAAGTAGAAGACTAGTTTGTTTGTCGAGGATTTCGGGAAATTCCAAAATCTAAACCAATCATTTTTCTTTCCTCTTCCCTTTCCGTTTAAAGAATTATTATTATTGTGACCTTATTTTCGTTATTTTACAGCTTTTTTAGCTCTAATTAATTGCTTACCAGCCCACAGTCAAGTGAATACAAAAGTTAAAAAAAATTAAATCCATGAGAATGCTCATTCTAAGGTAACGATAAAATAATTCATGCTAGTTAATACTTTAAAGTATGAATCAATGTACGATAAATAAATGATTGTAGAATTCATCTTCTCATTTGAAATTTATTCACTTTTGTGCGCTCTCTTCATAAATTTAAATTACAACTACAAACAATTTTTACTAAACTAAAATCTGACTCTTCCAATTTGTTGTGGTACAACTAACTAGCAAAATATGTTATATTGGTCTTGGAACTTAATGTTCAAGATTTCAAAATGACAAAAACACAATTCATCTCGCCCCGCGCTTTTTACAAGCTAAAATATCTTTATACATGAAAGTTGAAATTCAAATGTTTAGTATCCTGAACTTACTTCAACCTTACTTCGTGCTTAATAGCACAACCAAAAAATTCAAAAAATGTATTTGAAATTTATTACTTGTGACAAAATTAATTCAGTGATATCCCACATATTTGGTATGAAGTGAAAATTTGTTACTCAATTTAAATAATCGGAATTAAATTTAATTCTTAATCCTTCGCATAATCACCATACCCGTACATCAACAAATTAATTCTATGGAATCAAAATTCGGAGCGGAAAAATTTGAAAATTGGCGCCGGTGAAAACTGACCGATGCAGCAGTATTGTCTGGCGTTTCTCGTCCGTACCATACGTGA